AATAACTTGGTAAGATGAAATTTCTGGACAACATGAACACATTTTTAGATAATTCTAGAATTTGTCAGTCAATTAGTGCGAAATTTAGTGTTATTTTTTAAATAAAAGTTGAAATTTTGAATTAATTTTCTTGAAATTTTGATTTAGTTAACCCGAAATTTCGACAGTTATCGAAGAAATGAAAGTGGATTTGACTTCTGCGGCCCGAAATCCACAAGAAAGTGTATTTAGTAAAATTTCGAAAATTTTGTTGAAAATTGGTCGAAAATTAGGAGAATTTTGCATATTTTTGAATATTGCAAAAGACGATTGTGGAAAAACCATTCGAGTTATGGAAGAACTGAAAGCGGATATGACTTCTGCGACCCGAAATCTACAAGAAAATGTATTTAGTGAAATTTCTAAAATTTTGTTGAAAATTGGTCGAAAATTAGGAGAATTTAGCTTATTTTTGAATATTGCAAAAGACGATTGTGGAAAAACCATTCGAGTTATGGAAGAAATGAAAGCGGATATGACTTCTGCGGCCCGACATCTACAAGAAAATGTACTAAGTGAAATTTCGAAAATTTTGTTGAAAATTGGTGGAAAATTGGGCGAATTTTGCGTATTTTTGAATATTTCAAAGGACGATTCTGGAAAAACCATTCGAGTTATGAAAGAAAAGAAAGCGATGTGACTTCTGTGGCCCGAAATCTACAAGAAAATCTATTTAGTGAAATTTCAAAAATTTTGTTGAAAATTGGTCGAAAATTCCAGAATAGTAAATCGAAATTTCAGTTAAATCAATTACAAATTTTTTGGTTAATTAATTGCACAAAGTTCTTATGAGAAAATTTCCACTTTTTTATATTTAAATTTCGGCTTAAATAAATAAATTAACAGAAAAATTCGACTGATTGTTTTCAAATTTGTTCATATTTTTTAGAAATTTCGAATTACTGGACAAAACTTTAAGTCATTAATTCCGCTAAATTAACCTGAAATTTTTGTTGTGAAAATTTAGATTTTTTTTGGTATTTTGACTCAACTAATCCAAAATTCGACCTGGAAATTATTTTTTTTTTAAATTTCGTCTCATTAACTTTTTCACTAAATCAAAACTTCAAAACAATTAATTCAAAATTTTAACTTTTATTTTTGAAATTGCAACATTTTATCTGAAAATTTTCACGTAAATAGCACTAAATTTCTCACTAATTAATTGCAAAATGCTGTAATTATCTCAAAATTTGTTAATTTTAGCCAGAAATTTCGTCTTATCACACAAGTCTCAATTTACTAAATCGAAATTCCAGTTAAATCAATTAGACATTTTTTGGTTAATTAATTACTTCAAAATTTCATGTTCATAAAATTCTTATGAGGAAATTTCCATTTTTTATATTTAAATTTCGACTTAAATAAATAAATTAACAGAAAAACTCGACTGGTTGTTTTCAAATTTGTTCATATTTTTTACAAATTTCGAGTTACTGACAAAATTTTAAGTTATTAATTCCACTAAATTAACCTGAAATTTTTGTTCTAAAAATTTTGATTTTTTTTGGTATTTTGACCTAACTAATTCAAAATTCGATCTGGAAATTCTTTTTTTTGAAATTTCGTCTCATTAACTTGAAATTGGACTTTTATATTGAAATTCGTTTTCACTAAATCAAAACTTCAAAACAATTAATTCAAAATTTCGACTTTTATTTTTGAAATTGCAACATTTTACCTGAAAATTTTGACGTAAATAACACTAAATTTCTCACTAATTAATTGCAAATTTCTGTAATTATCTCAAAATTTGTTAATTTTAGCCAGAAATTTCGTTTTCACTAAATTAAAACTTAAAAACAATTAATTCAAAATTTCAACTTTTATTTTTTAAATTGTAGCATTTTACCCGAAAATTTTGACGTAAATAACACTAAATTTCTCACTAATTAATTGCAAAATTCTGCAATTATCTCAAAATTTGTTAATTTTAGCCAGAAATTTCGTCTTGTCACACAAGTCTCAATTTACTAAACTGAAATTCCAGTTGAATCAATTAGAAAATTTTTGGCTAATTAATTGCTTAAAAATTTCATGTTCATAAAATTCTTATGAGGAAATTTTCATTTTTCATATTTAAATTTCGACTTAAATAAATAAATTAAGAGAAAAATTCGACTGATTCTTTTCAAATTTGTTCATATTTTTTAGAAATTTCGAGCTACTACACAAAATTTTAAGTCATTAATTCCGCTAAATTAACCTGAAATTTTTGTTGTCAAATTTTGATTTTTTTTGGTATTTTGAGCTAACTAATCCAAAATTTGACCTGGAATTTTTTTTTTTTTAATTTCGTCTCATTAACTTTTTCACTAAATCAAAATTTCAAAACAATTAATTCAAAATTTCAACTTTTATTTTTGAAATTGCAACATTTTACTTGAAAATTTTGACGTAAATAGCACTAAATTTCTCACTAATTAATTGCAAAATTCTGTAATTATCCCAAAATTTGTTAATTTTAGCCAGAAATTTCGTCTTGTCACACAAGTCTCAATTTTCTAAATTAAAATTCCATTTCAATCAATTAGAACTTTTTTGGTTAATTAATTACTTCAAAATTTCATCTTCATAAAATTCTTATGAGGAAATTTTCGACTTAAATAAATAAATTAACAGAAAAATTCGACTGATCGTTTTCAAATTTGTTAATATTTTTTAGAAATTTCGAGTTACTGTACAAAATCTTAAAGTTATTAATTCCGCTAAATTAATTAAGTTTTTGTTGCAAAAATTTTGATTTTTTTTTGGTATTTTGACTTAACTGATCAAAAATTCGACGTGGAATTTTTTTTTTTTTGAAATTTTATCTCATTAACTTGAAATTGGACTTTTTTTATATTGAAATTTCGTTTTCACTAAATCAAAATTTAAAAAAAATTAACTCATAATTTCAATAACATAAAAATAACACTAAATTTTTCACTAATTAATAGAAAAATTCTACAGTTTTCTCAAAATTTGTTCATGTTAGTCAGAAATTTTGTCTTATCAGTATCACATAAAAGTTTCAAATTATTATTTCGATTAAATAACTAAATTAAAAGAACAATTCGACTTATTGTCTTAAAATTTGTTCATAATGGCTAGAAATTTCGAATTACAATACAAAAATTTAAGTTATTAATTTCGTTGAATTATCCTGAAATTTCTTTTTTTCCTTATTGGGAAATTTTGAGTTAATCGATCCGATACGTCCCAACATCGAAAATGTGTTTTTTTCCAAATTTCGTCTTGATTTGAAATTTATGTCGAAATTTCGGGTTAACTAAATCAAAATTTCAAGAAAATTAACTCAAAATTTCAACTTTTATTTTGAAAAGAACACTAAATTTCGTACTAATTGACTGACAAATTCTATAATTATCTAAAAATTTGTTCATATTGTCCAGAAATTTCATCTTACCAAGTCATTAAATCGAAATTCCGGTTAAATCAAAGCGAAATTTTTTGTCTAATTAATAACTTTCAAAATTTTATTTTTATAAAGTTCTTATGAGGAAATTTCCACTTTTTATACTTACATTTCGACTAAAATAACTAAATTAACAGAAAAATTCGAGTGATTGTCTTCAAATTTGTTCATATTTTTCAAAAATTTTAAGTTATTAATTCCGCCACATTAACCCGAAATTTTTATTGTACAAATTTTGATTTCTTATTAGGAAATTTTGACTAACTAATTCGAAATGTCGTATAAGATTTTTTTTCTAAACTCACTTCTAAGATATACTAGCACAAGAGATATAGTGGTTTTATGACTTTGACTTTTCCAAGTCCTTAGTGTATGAACAAAGAGCATCTTAAACTAACACCGCAGAGATAAGCTGACAAGCACAGTGAGGGAGTCAAAGTCCTGAAACCGCTATATTTCTTGTGCCACTATACCATTTTCCGTTGCTTCACTCCTCCACTTCTACTTAGCTCTCACGCGGTCACATGTCTCCCACCAGTCGCAATCCACAGTGCGCCCCTGTAGGCGCCCTCCCCCTGCCGCAAAGATCACTCGTCGGAGTTCTTTTGCCGGAAATCATTACCGTGTGTTTTATGCATGGCCGAGGAGGGGCTCCCATGGAAGGGGAACCAAAAGGGGCGCATTATGCAACGCGGCTCGCTCGGGGCCGAAAAGCAAGGTCAGCGTGGTACAGCAGGTTGGCTCAGGTGTTTTTGTGTGAGATATGAGCGGCGAAAAAGTCGCGGAGGAAATTCTATAGAACAAAACCAAGAATGCTAACGGTAGGTTCGGTGAGTAGGCCGACCTAGCTTTTCTCTTTTCTACAAACAGGGGTTGTGTTTGTACGCGGTGTAGAAAGTAGGTTAAGCCATCGGTAAAAGAAAAGCATTCCGAGTAATTTGAGATACATCGAGTGCTGGTGGACAGTGGCGTAGGAGAGAAATGCGGCGGTGGGAGGAGGTGATGGGTTTGTTGGGAAATAAAGAGATGTTTGTGGGATTAATGGTTATTGGACGGAGTCGCTTTCGGAGGAATGGGTAAAATGCGGGTTTAATGAGTCCACTTGTGTTATTACGGATTAATGTAGCCAACACTTACACAATAGGCTTGTATAATGCATTATCTTAGAGTAGTAATAGATTATAATAACAGTTTGTCATTATTTTCCTTTGAATAATGGTGTGGTGGAGGTCACCATAATAAGTAACGCTTTCAGCTTGATTTTTATCGACTTTGACTTTTCCACGGACGTGGCAGGACTTTGAACATCAAGTGCCAACATTTTTTATTATTTTCATGTACTTCGAATGCATAACTTGTGTTAAATATAAATGTAAAAGCATTCACTAGTAACATTATCAACTAAAGCAAATTTTTAAATTAATTTAAGGACTCGTTTGCAACCAATTTACACGCTTAAATATCTTTTCCGCAACGTCTGAGAATACTCGATTTATTTATTTTCAATTTTGGTAGAAAACTTTATTAAAAAACAACACAGAAACGTAAACAACAGGAATTTTTAACTGATGGGACACTTGTAAGGGACGTTATCCTTGCAACAGAACTCCCTTCCTGCCGACATGTTCGTGTTCACCCATTTTTGGCTGTAATTCTTCACGAAGAGGAATGCCCTCTCCTTGTGCACCAGGTCTCTGTCCACGGTTGCGCAGATGATGTCCCCGCTCTTGGGCAAATGTGTGATAATCTGCAACGGTCGTAAAAAGCGTTTCTTATTTAAAAAGAAAAAAACTAAGAATATTTATGCCCGTAGATTAGAGGGGAAATGGATCGTGCACTCCCACGGGAGATGTCACCTCAGGGACAACAACGTACTTTACTCCAGAGATGTAAAAATATTTTTCTTCTACTATAAAATTTATTAGAAAGATTTATTATTGCTGTTTAAGTGGAAATCATACATTAATATTGTAGTAGTAATGGTTTCCGGGCCGGTCCAATTCAAGGGTGATTGACTTATTAGGAACCCTAATCTTTTTATGTACAGTTTAGATTGAAATTTCGAGATAACTCAAGAAGAAAATTCTCGACTGACTCATGTGTTTTCACGAACGACGTGGGGAAACCTAACCCAAATTACGTGGTAAATTAACACAGACAAAATTTAGATTTAATGACTTTTAATAATTCGAAATTCTGAGTCAATTAGTGTGAACTTTTCAGACGAAACGAATTTGGAATTATTTCATTCAAAATTTGGGTTAGTACCTTAAAATTTTGTATGGAAACTCGAAATTTCTAGATAATCTGGGCAAATTTTGGGAAAACAAGTCTATTTTTTTGTTTTTAATTAGTTGGGTCGATATTTAGCCACGAAAAGTTGAAATTTCCTGATAAGAACTTTACGAGTATGAAATTTCGAAGTAACTAATTTCACAAAAATTTAGTCAAAATGTTCAGGAAAGAAGTTTCAGTTTCGGAATCAAAGTTGAAATTTCGAGTTAACTTTCTTGAAGTTTTAAATCAAAACTTAAGGCGAAATTTCAAGAAAAAATAAATCCCGATGTTCGATATTTTGGATTGCTGTAGTCAAAATTTCCCAGTAAGAAATAAAAATTTTTACAATTATAAATTTCAGATCAATTCGGCTGAATTGATAATTTAAAACTCTGTGTAATAAGTCTCAATTTCTATATAATGTGAACAAATCTTGAGATAATAGTCGAATTTTTCATTTAATTTAATAATAATCAGTGTCAAATATATAGACATAACAAGTCAAAATTTTATAATAGGAACTTAATAAACTTGAAATTTCGAAGCCTATAGTTTGACAAAAAATTTCGAATTGATTTCATCTGAGTTTCAATTTAATAACTTGAAACTTTGTGTGATAAGACATATTTTCCAGGTAACATGAACAAATTTTGAAATATTTATAGAATTTTTCAGTTAATTAGTGCGTAATTTTGGCTGATTTAAGTTAAAATTTTCAACGAAGTAGTTGTGATTTCGAAATATAAAAGCTGAAATTTTGAGTTAACGTTTATGAAGTTGTGATTTAGTTGAGACAAAATTTCCGGATAAAGAATCAAAATTTTTGCGACAAATCGAATTTTGGGTTAATTCAGCTGAATTTTATAATAACTTGAAATTTTATATAGTAACTTGAAATTTCTAGATGATGTGAATATTTTTTGGAATAATAAGTCGAAATTTCCACAAAGAGCTTTCCGGTCTTCCACATTTCAGATTAGTTAAGTCAAAATTTCCGGATAAAGAATCAAAGTTTTTACAACAAATCGAATTTTGGGTTAAATCAGCTGAGTTAATAACTTGAAATTTTGTATAGTAACTTGAAATTTCTAGACGATGTGAACAATTTTTGGAATAATAAGTTGAATTTTTCTGTTAATTTAGTTATTTAGGTCGAAATTGAACCAAATAAAGTCGAAATTTCCTTAGGGGAACTTTATGAACATGAAATTTCAAAGTGGTTATTTAGACAAAAAATTTCGATTTGATAACTTCAAACTTTGTGTGATAAGACGAAATTTCTGAGTAACATGAACAAATTTTGAAATATTTGTAGAATTTTTCAGTAAGTTAGTGTGTAATTTTGGTTCATTTCATCAAAATTTTCAACGAAGAAGTTGTAATTTCGAAATGTAAACTGAAATTTTGAGTTAACTTTTTTGAAATTTTGATTTAGTTAAGACGAAATGATGTAAACAAATTTTGGAACAATAAATTGAACTTTTATGTTAATTTAGTAATTTAGGTCGAAATTTAACTACAATAATCGAAATTTTCGGATGAGAACTTTACGAACGTCAAATTTCAAAACAAGTAGATAGTTAAAGGAAAAATTTCGAATTGATTTAAAAGGAATTTCTATTTAATAACTTCAAACTTTGTGTGATAAGACGAAATTTCTGAGTAACATGAACAAATTTTGAAATATTTGTAGAATTTATCATTAAATTAGTGCGTAATTTTGGTTCATTTCATCAAAATTTTCAACGAAGAAGTTGTAATTTCGAAAAATAAACTGAAATTTTGAGTTAACTTTTTTGAAATTTTGATTTAGTTAAGACGAAATGATGTAAACAAATTTTGGAACAATAAATCGAATTTTTATATTAATTTAGTTATTTAGGTCGATTTTTAACTACAAAAATCAAAATTTCCTGATGAGAACTTTACGAACGTCAAATTTCAAAACAAGTAGATAGTTAACGGAAAAATTTCGAATTGATTTAAAAGGAATTTCGATTTAAGAATTTGAAACTTTGTGTGATATGACGAAATTTCTGGATAATATGAACAAATTTTGGAATATTTATAGAATTTTTGAGTTAATTAGTGCGTAATTATGGCTGATTTAAGTCAAAATTTTCAATGAAGTAGTTGTGATTTCGAAATATAAAAGCTGAAATTTTTAATTAACGTTCATGAAATTGTGATTTAGTTATGACAAAATTTCATAAAAGTCCAGTTTTTGGTAATAAGGTGAATTTCCAGACAGAGTTTTCCGGTGTTCGATATTTTAAATTAGTTAAGTCAAAATTTCCGGATAAAGAATCAAAGTTTTTACAACAAATCGAATTTTGGGTTAATTCAGCTGAATTAATAACTTGATATTTTGTATAGTAATTTGAAATTTCTAGATGATGTGAAAATTTTTTGGAATAATAAGTCGAATTTTTCTGTTAATTTAGTTATTTAGGTCGAAATTGAACCAAATAAAGTCGAAATTTCTTAAGGGAACTTTATGAACATGAAATTTCAAAGTGGTTAGTTAGACAAAAAAATTCGATTTGATATAGAAGGAATTTCGATTTAATAACTTCAAACTTTGTGTGATAAGACGAAATTTCTGAGTAACATGAACAAATTTTGAAATATTTGTAGAATTTTTCATTAAATTAGTGCGTAATTTTGGTTCATTTCATCAAAATTTTCAACGAAGAAATTGTAATTTCGAAATATAAACTGAAATTTTGAGTTAACTTTTTTGAAATTTTGATTTAGTTAAGACGAAATGAAGTGAACAATTTTTGGAACAATAAATCGAATTTTTATATTAATTTAGTTATTTAGGTCGAAATTTAACTACAAAAATAAAAATTTCCTAATGAGAACTTTACGAACGTCAAATTTCAAAACAAGTAGATAGTGAAAGGAAAATTTTCGAATTGATTTAAAAGGAGTTTCGATTTAATAATTTGAAACTTTGTGTGATATGACGAAATTTCTGGATAATATGAACAAATTTTGGAATATTTATAGAATTTTTGAGTTAATTAGTGCGTAATTTTGGCTGATTTAAGTCAAAATTTTCAATGAAGTAGTTGTGATTTCGAGATATAAAAGCTGAAATTTTTAATTAACTTTCATGAAATTGTGATTTAGTTATGACAAAATTTCATAAAAGTCCAGTTTTTGGTAATAAGATGAATTTCCAGACAGAGTTTTCCGGTGTTCGATATTTTAGATTAGTTAAGTCAAAATTTCCGGATAAAGAATCAAAGTTTTTACAACAAATCGAATTTTGGGTTAATTCAGCTGAATTAATAACTTGAAATTTTGTATAGTAACTTGAAATTTCTAGACGATGTGAACAAGTTTTGGAATAATAAGTCGAATTTTTCTGTTAATTCAATTATTTAGGTCGAAATTGAACCAAATAAAGTCGAAATTTCTTAAGGGAACTCTATGAACATGAAATTTCAAAGTGGTTAGTTATACAAAAAAATTCGATTTGATATAGAGGAATTTCGATTTAATAACCTCAAACTTTGTGTGATAAGACGAAATTTCTGAGTAACATGAACCAATTTTGAAATATTTGTAGAATTTTTCAGTAGATTAGTGCGTAATTTTGGTTCATTTAACCAAAATTTTCAACGAAGAAGTTGTAATTTCGAAATACAAACTCAGATTTTGAGTCAACTTTCTTGAAGTTTTGATTAGTTAAGACGAAATTTCATAAAAGTCCAATTTTTGATAATAAGACGAAATTTTTAGAAAAAGAGCTTTACGGTGTTTGATATTTCAGATTAGTTAAGTCAAAATTTCTGAATAAAGATTCAACATTTTTACACCAAATCGAAATTTCGAGTTAGTTCAGCTAAATTATTAACTTTATATTTTGTATAGTAACTTGAAATTTCTAGATGGTGTGAACAATTTTTGGAACAATAAGTCGAATTTTTCAGTTAATTTAGTTATTTAGGTCAAAATTTAATCATAAAAAGTCGAAATTAATTAGTTAGACTACAAATTTCTAGTTAGTTGAAAGCTATGATTTGGTTCAACCAAAATTTCGAGTCTTTAAAATAAAATTTCGAAAAAGGAGTTGATATTTTTTTAATAATAATAAACATCTTTAAGTTTCTGTCATTTTGAGAAAATAGTCCATATTTCAAGTTAATATGTTAAAATGTTACGAAAACACCAAGAGGGAATAATAAAAACACAAATTTTGAGGATAATAGTCGATTTTTTCGTTACGAAGTTGTAAAAATTGAAATTTTGAATTATCACCTCTCTAAAATTTCGATTTAGTTAAGAAGAATTTGATTAGTAGTAATTACGGTTTAAAGTTGAGTAAATTGTGTTTCCGTGTTAGTAAGTCAAAATTTTATGTTGACTTTTTTTGAGTTGATTAGTTTGAAATTTGCAGTCGTAAAAGTTAAAATTTCTCCATAAAAAGTCAAAATTTCTTGATTACGAATTTACCAACGTGAATTTTGAGTTAACCAGTTCAAATTTTGAGTCATCAGTTAACTTTCAACTTCAATAATTAGATTTCAAATTTCGAGTACTCGCCACCTCGCCTCAAGATTATTCTGACTATTATCCCTCAATTACCCTACCAGCATCCTGCCCGTCCCCACGCTTTCCACCCCACTAACCCCCAACAATGCCCATCCTCTCACCATTTCCAGGCACTTATTCGTGCACTGCCGATTTCCCATGGCGTTGTTCATGAAGGGGGTGTCCATTTCCTGCGTCAGCACCGGCACCCCCTTCGGCTGCTCCTTTGACCCTTTCTTGAACTGTCCACTCAAGAACACGCCACATGTGCACGGAACTGGTTTGCTGTCCGCCTTTGCGCTCTTCACGGGCTCACCTGCACCGGCGAGGGCGCACAGGGTGAGAACCACCATCGCACGAAACATCCCGTCGACAAAAAATTAATTAGAGGGTGGGAGCGCGGACACTTGTTGCTCACCTGCCGGAATGGGGACGGCGGCGAGGTTTTATGCTTGATATGGACTGGAAACGGTTGTGCAAAGCGTGCGGATTCTTGATTGCAAAAATGTAAATAAGGAACGTAAACAGAGCGGCGGCGGTCGGGGGCGGCCTAGTTTGAGTTTGTTGTTGTTGTGGGGGTTATGCAATGAGGTGGTGGCGCTTTTGGGGTCAGGGTTATTCGCTGCACGAGCATTTTTTTTTATATTTAACTGAATCAACACATGTAAGAAAGTACTTCAGGTCAATTGATCACTTAATTTTGATAATCTTGAACTTAGATTAATTAAGTGTCTGATAAGTTTAAAAATAAATAATGCACTATTGACATTCCAGAATGATTTACAAAAAAAAATCATTTTAAATTCAACAAGTATGGCTTCCGGAGTTCTACAGAGATATAATCTTGGTCCTGTTTCTTTTTCTCTTTTTATAAATGACTTTCGGGTGTCTAAATATACTTCAGGACTAATTACAACAAGAAAAACACACTTTATTGTCATAAAAAAGTCGTTTATTTATTTTTCTTTATAATCAACTTTGCGTCCCCCCACAAAACCACCTTCCCCCTCTCCGGCACCTCACACCTGAATTTCACGGTCACAATTTTCCGATTTTCGACCATCTCGACCGTCACTTCCACCTCTTCGTCCACGTAGCACTTGTTCGGAAAATTCAAAGTCTGGGCCACTACTACTGAGCCCGGCCCTGGCAGTTCCGTCCCGATTACTCGCGAAACCAACGAGTTGAGTAAAGCACCGTGCACGAGCGCCCTCTCTGGACCATTTACAGCATGAATCGGATTATCATCACCGCTCAACTCTGTAAACTTGGCTAAATCTTCTTTAGTTATTTTTCTTCGAATTGTAGCCTTGGAAGAAAAATTACGCAACGCCGCCCTAAGCATTTTTATTCGCTTCTTCCATGAAGATCACACCCAGATTTTTATAACGGGGGTTCGGGTGGGCTTCATAAACGTTGATTTTGGTGAGAATCTCGGGGGTGAGGAGGTGTCGCTGCGACGGGAAGATAAGATAAAACAGGGTAGTTATGGCATTCAGGGCGATTTCTTCGTTCTTGTGGAGGAGTTTGTTCGACACGAGCTTGATTCCGTTGAGTTTGATTATGTAGTCTTGGCTTTCGGGGTCTGGAATCGTTTTAGACGTTACTGGGAGTCAAAATCGGGTAGTACGTACCTGGACTTAAATTACATAGGGCTGCTAGTCCAAAGTGGGTTAGGTCGTCGTCGTCGGTTGACAGTTGGTCGAGGAACAAATCAAGGGCGTGAAGTTGCTTCAGAAACTCAAAATTGACCGGATCGTAGGCGAAGTTTGACAAGTTTGCTAGAACTTGGCGTTTCGCTTCTGAAATTGCGCGATTATTTGAATTTGGCGCCATGTTATGTCACTCACCTGGCGATTTTGTTGTCCCAAATTCCACGATCAGTTGTTTGAGAAATTCGTATCGTCCGACACCGTCGGGGCCGGTTTTTTTCACCAAAGTCGCTTTCCTGGTGAACATTTTTTGAGGTTATGTTGGTGAATTTGACAGGACGGTTGACACTTGGGATGTGTCTCGAGTGTCGACGTCGGGATTATTAAATAAAATGAAAGTGGTTTAAAAACTTTTATAAGAAAAATGCTTCTTAAATTACAACTTTATGGTTTAGCTGACTCTTGTAGCAGTTTCTTGAAGAAGAGTGGCAACAACGATGACTGGTACTCCGTAATAATGCGGTTAATTTCGGTTATATATTCATCAGCTTCCTCTTTAACCGCGTTCTCGACGCTAGTCAAAATGTGACCTCTCAACACAGTTATCAAAATGTCGCCCAGCAAGTTGAGAATCCAGTCAATTAAATAATTGCCGTCAAATTCAAGATCAAAGTATCTACGAAAAAATTGTAGTATTGAATTCCCAAAATTTTCTGAGAAAATAGAGTGAGCCGTTCCTAATTTAATCAATAAAATAAAGTGACTCATTCATTAATTTTTTTGAGCCACCTGGATAAGCAAATCTAAAAAAATGAACGCAATAATATATCACAAAAACTCATTATATCTCTTTTCTTAGAAGGTATCTCATTTGCCAAAGTCAGTCTTATCTTAGCAAATACTAGACCCGCCCACTCGCCCCCTTTTTTCTCAGAGGATATATCATCTGCCAAATTAATCTTATCTGAGCAAGTACTAGCACCACCCACCCGCCCTCTATTTTCTTAAAAGGTATGTCATTTGCCAAAATGTTAGTATTTGTTAAGATAAGACTGATTTTGGCAGATGACATAATCCTCTAAAAAGTAGCGGGTGGGTGGGCGGGGCTAGTAATTGCTAAGATAAAACTGACTTTGGCAAATGCCATAGCCTCTAAGAAAATAGAGGGTAGACTAATTTTGGGAAATGGGAAAATACGGGCAAATCTAAAAAATATGAATGCAAAGACAAATCACAAGCAAAAACTCATCATATTTTACACATTTTGGGTAGAATTTATTTGGCAAAATTTTGATATGTCATCAATTTTTTGGGGGAAATAAAACTATACCGGGTGTTTGGAAAATGGCGGATTAACGTCTCAGTACGTTATATAGTACTACCTGTTAAGACTGATTTTGGCAAATGAGGTACCCTCTGAGAAAAGAGACGGCGGGTGGGTGGGGCTAATAGCCGTCAAGACAAAACTGATTTTGGCAAATGACATACTCTCTAAAAAACGGGAGGGCGGGTGGGCGGGGCTAGTATCTGCTAAGATAAAACTGATTCTGGCAAATGACATACTCTCTAAGAAACGAGAGGGTGGGTGGGCGGGGCTAGTTACTGCTAAGATAAGACTAATTTTGGCAAATAAGATCCTCTAAGAAATTTAATTAAATTATTATAAGAAAAGACCCTAGAGGCCCCAAAGCACTTTCAAATTCTTTCGAAACAGGAATACCTAGAACCTCAAGATTGCTTTGAATTTTTCAAAAAAATAATTAACTCAAAAACAGGTCAGGTCAGAATTTTACATAAATAGAACACCGAAGTACTAAAATTTTGTTTTAAATAATTTACAAAAAAATCTGCATCGGCTCCGTTGCCAAATTGCCGTTGATGGTAACTTTGGTGTTCAACTTATGCCGTATTTAAAGATGTTGTAGAAGAAAAGTGGAGTATTTAAGTTGATAACTACAAAAATTTACCATTTTGTACATGTTTTAAGTTTCTTGTTGTCGAAATAAGTCGACATATATTAAGAAAAAAAGGCAAAATTAGCCCCACCCCCACCGTATCTCTATTGTGATGATTTATTGTATTCGTCGTGAGTCAAGAAAGCGGAGCTTAACTGCAAAATCCTTATTTCTTTACGAGAAATTAAAAACATGTTGTTGAGTAATTCTCTATAATATGAATAAATTTTAAAATAATTGTAGAGTTTTTCAATTAATTAGTTTGCAATTTTAGTTAATTTACGTCAAAATTTTCAACGAAGAAGATGCAGTGTCGAAATATAAAAGTTGAAATTTTGAGTTAACTTTCTTGAAGTTTTGATAGTTAAGACTAAATTTCAAAAAAGGCCAATTTTTGGTAAAAAGACGAAATTGCTAGAAAAAGAGCTTTCCGGTGTTCGACATTTCAGATTAGTTAAGTCAAAATTTTCGGATAAGGAATCAAAATTTTTACAACAACTAGAAATTTAGGGTTAATTCAGCTGAATTAATAAGTTTAAACTTTGTATGGTAACTTGAAATTTCTGGATGATGTGAACAATTTTTGGAATAATAAGTCGAATTCTTCTGCTAATTTAGTTGTTTAGGTCTAAATTTAACTACAAAAAAATCGAAATTTCCTGATGAGAGCTTTACGAACGTCAAATTTCAAAATAGATAAAATTTCGAATTGATATAAAAGGAATTTCGATTTAATAACATGAAACTTTGTGTGATAAAACGAAACTTCTGTATAATATGAGTAAATTTTGAAATATTTGTAGAATTTTTCAATAAATTAGTGCGTAATTTTGGTTAATTTACGTCAAAATTTTCAAAGAAGAACTTGCAATTTCGAATTATAAAAGTTGAAATTTTGAGTTAACTTTCTGGAAGTTTTGATTAGTTAAGACAAAATTTCAAAAAAGTCCAATTTTTGGTAAAAAGACGATATTTCTAGAAAAAGAGCCTTTCGGTGTTCGCCATTTCAGATTAGTTACGTCAAAATTTTCGTATAAGGAATCAAAATTTTTACAACAACTTGAAATTTCGGGTTAATTCAGCTGAATTAATAAGTTTAAACTTTGTATAGTAACTTGAAATTTTTTGATGATGTGAACAATTTTTGGAACAATAAGTCGAATTTTTCCGTTAATTTAGTTGTTTAACTACAAAAATTCGAAATTTCCTGATGAGAACTTTACGAACGTCGAATTTCAAAATAGATAAAATTTCGAATTGATTTAAAAGGAATTTCGATTTAATAACTTGAAATTTCGTGTGGTGAGACGAAAATTTCTGTATATGAATAAATTTTGAAACATATTTGTAGAATTTTTCAATTAATTAGTGCGTAATTTTGGTTCATTTACGTCAAAATTTTCAACGAAGACGTTGCAATTTCGAAATATAAAAGTTGAAATGTTGAGTCAACTTTCTTGAAATTTTGATTAGTTAAGACTAAATTTCAAAAAAGGCTAATTTTCGGCAAGAGAACGAAATTTCTAGAAATTTGAAGTCATAAAAGTTAAAATTTCCCCATAAAAAGTCAAAACCACCCACCCTATCTCAATTGTGATAAATTTTTCATTCGTTGTGAGATAGAGGGGCTGGGCTTAATTGCAGGATTTGTCTACAAGAATTTATCATTTTAAACATGTTTTAAGTTTCTTGTTGTGAAAAGATGGCTCTCTATATTAAGAAAAAAGGCAAAATATAAGCCCCGCCCACCCACCCTATCTCAATTGTGATAAATTTTTCATTCGTTGTCAGATAGAGGGGCTGGGCTTAATTGCAGAATTTGTCTACAAGAATTTACCATTTTAAACATGTTTTAAGTTTCTTGTTGTGAAAAGATGGCTCTGTATATTCAGAAAGAAGGTAAAATATAGGCCCCGCCCACCCGCCCTATCTCATTTGTGATGAATTTTTCATTCGTTGTCAGATCGAAGGGCGGGGTTTAATTGCAGAATTTGTCTACAAGAATTTACCATTTTAAACATGTTTTAAGTTTCTTGTTGTGGAAAGATGGCTCTGTATATTCAGAAAGAAGGTAAAATATAGCCCCGTCCACCCGCCCTATCTCATTTGTGATAAATTTTTCATTCGTTGTCAAATCGAGGGGCTGGGCTTAATTGCAGGATTTGTCTACAAGAATTTACCATTTTAAACATGTTTTAAGTTTCTTGTTGTGAAAAGATGGCTCTCTATATTAAGAAAAAAGGAAAAATATAAGCCCCGCCCACCCACCCTATCTCAATTGTGATAAATTTTTCATTCGTTGTCAGATCGAGGAGCTGGACTTAATTGCAGGATTTGTCTACAAGAATTTGCCATTTTAAACATGTTTTAAGTTTCTTGTTGTGAAAAGATGGCTCTGTATATTCAGAAAAAAGGTAAAATATAGGCCCCACCCACCCGCCCTATCTCATTTGTGATGAATTTTTCATTCGTTGTCAGATCGAGGGGCGGGGTTTAATTGCAAGTTTTGTCTACAAGAATTTACCATTTTTAATATATTTTAAGTTTCTTGGTGTGAAAAGATGACTCTGTATATTAAGAAAAAAATGCAAAATATAAGCCCCGCCCTGTCTCAATTCTGATGTTTTTTTTATCGTCGAGAGCAAAAGGAGCGGAATTTAATTGCAAAATCCTTATTATTTCTCTAGAAGGAATTACCAAGTAAGACATGTTGTTGAGTATCCTGTTATTCAAAGAATACTATGTATATTAAGAAAAAACTAAACCCAAAGATTAAGCCCCGCCCATATCTGCTCTTATCTAAACAGTAATGAAGTTTTCATTCGTTGGCAGACCTAAGGGCGGAGCCTAATTGCAAAATCCGTATTTCGATACAAAAATGTATCATTTTCAACGTGTTTCGTTTCTAAGAATAAAAAAAAAATAATCACAATTGAGATGGGGTGGGTGGGCGGGCATACGTTTTTCCTTTTTGTTTTAATCTGTGTAGACTTCTTTTCACAACATGAAACTTTAGGAGAGATTATCTGTCTAATGAAAATCCGTTACGGCAGACAGACGGACAGACGACAGACGGACAGACAGACGCTTGTTAGACTACCTTCACACTCACTCTAAATCAGTGGCACGACAGTCAAAAGTAATTTCCGGTTTTTGGTACTCATAACCTAGAACCAATTCCATTTTCAGTCCTTGTACAATTCCAAAAACTGTGCCACTGCGACCATATCCCAAAATAGCGGCACTATAATTGTACGTAAACTACAAATTTGGTCAATTCAATTTCTGTCAGATTTTACACTCAAAGCGTCGAAAGTTAAGGGTAAAATGGTCTCCGTTTTTCTGGACGTCTTATAGTAACTGAATTTTGCGTGTTTGACACTTGACAGGTTTTGCAGCCAGCCCCCGGTTAAGTTAACGTCGCCGTAATACGTCATTAGAAGCGTCTGGAATTTTTTATTTTTCATTTATCCTCTTTTAGAGTTTGCTTACGTAGTTGAAACCGGACGAAAAATCTGACAGTTCCAGTGGTTCCACATTTTCGGCTAGGAAGCCACCAATGACTTTGAATAGCCGGTCTGAGCACGTGTTTAAGTGGTCTTTTAAATGGAGCGACGATCTATAGAGTGATATAGTTGAGATAGCTGGTGGATTGGGTCGTACTTACGTCTGTGGGTCGCAGAATAAAAAGTGTTTGAGGGGTTTGCAAAAGTCACAAAGGAGAAGGAAGTTGTTCAGAAAGGACATCATTTTGACACGAGCGTCACGACTGACTGTTACTTGACACATTTTTATTTTGAAAATCTGGCAAGTTTTTTGAAATTTTTGAAAAATTTTAATGAGTGCTATTTTCATTTTGTGTTGTTATGTACTAAAGTGCACTTCACTATGATAAAGAAAAATAATTATCTGAAGTGTCGTCAATCTAAATATAAATTGTATTCTGAATATTTTGAAAATATTGTACGTATTTTCTGTTGCTAACTAAGTCTTTGATATCTTTCTAAATCTACATCGTAATCTCCGAGGAGTGAAGAGTTCATGGTCAAGTGTTTCAAGTACGTAAGGCCAAAGATCTCGATTGTAATAAGTGTTTATTCGTTACAATTGTTACAATAGATAACAAAACACTTGAATTACAACAAAATAATTCTTCATCACGATTACTTGATGAAGAAAGCCGCTGCAGTGGACGTAGGAACAGGCGTCGTAGGGTTCAAAATCCCGTCAATGAGATCATTGATGGACTGTATAGCGTCTTCCACGCTTCCTCGAATAATATTCTCCACGATCCCCAAAATCACGGGTTTCAAAAGACTGGTGACCACATCCGTCAACAAATTCACCAGCCAGTCAACCAACGGATTACCATTGAAGTTCACATCGATATGACTACAAAAACCCAGTTAATAAACACCTTCGTACCTAAATCGAGACAGTCGTACTTAGTATCAATGATTCCAAACTCATCCAAAGACAGCACCAAGTTGGTAACGTCGAACCCAATTTTCACCTCGACTTCGATATTGGCGATTTTACCATCAATGCCGCCCGTGGGTCCCAACCCCATGATCTCGGCGCTGTACTCATAGGTGAATTGGAGGTCATCGAAGGCGATGGGTACTGTGACTTCCAAAAATTTAGCCTCGGTGCTGTAGGTAACGATGACGTCGCCACCTCTGTGGACTGTGGAGATGTCCTCCAACCACCCTTTGGTGAGTTGCAGTTCACCTTGGTACGTGATGATCAAAGTCTGGAACGGTACCATGAGTACTGGATTTACGTGATTAACAGGTACCTACGTAGTTGAAGCCGGCTTCCAAGTCGGGTAGTTCCACCGGGTCGTACCCAGAGTGGATCAGGAATTGTTGAATATTCGCGAAGATTTTGTCAGCGTAGTCGTTGAGGTTGGCTTCGGTGCCAGCCAGAGAACTAATTTTGTGTTAAATAAATAAGCTGGAGGGTTGATTCATACTTACTTGATTTCGCGATCATGGGCGATTTTTTTCAAAATTTCGATGGCGGGGACGAGTTCTTGTTGCGGGACTACGATTTTGGGGAGGTTGTATTTGTTGGACACTTTGGTGTACTCAACTCTATCTATGACCACTTCAAAGTCATGCTTTTTGATGTGATAGGCACAGATTGTGGCCAAGAGGCAAGCGGCTACGAGTAGTCTTCTCATGCTGGGTACTGGATATTCACTCACAAGAGCAACTATTTTCTCAAGAGACTACTTACTTATATTAGGAGCGGGTTATTTAAATGGGATTATCTGATTTCGATTGAGTATCTGCACCTGTGTGATTGTTTTGAGAGTGCCTTGACATATGTACATAGTTTTTCAATTTTGAAAGGGTTCTATTGTTGACGATAAGATTGTATTGTTTACATAAATAATTATGAGGAATGTTTAAACGACGTTTGAAAGATGGGTACAAACGTCAGTGTTCGTATAAAGACGACATCGACATTTTTTAATTTTATTATGTGCTCAAATTCGTAATGTGGAAATATTTTACTCAAAATGGATAAAATTTTCCTCTGTATTTTTATCACTAGGGACTTTATCAATGCATTGTTGCACGTGTGTGTTTTCTAAGAATGCATTGTTCCTACATCAAAAATATTTATATAAAATATCAAGGCATTTTTTTTAAGGATACATCTTGCCGCTAGAAAGCATACACTTTCTTATCTGTTATTTTAGAAATGTCTTTGATGAAAACTGATGAAATATGCTAAAACCTTCAGTTCGAAAATGTTTCTATTTTTTTTTACAAATTAAAGACTGGTATTTATTTCAATGAGGCAAACTTCAAAACCACTTAACAATTTATCACGATCGTGATCAGAGTGTTACTAAAAATATTTAAACTTTGTCCTGCAAGATTAAGGCTAAGTAACAAGAGTTTTTTTTAAATCAAAAAGAACACATTTTATAATCATGATTTTGTTTGGAAAATGACAAAACAGGTCAGGTCATGTTAGGACAGGTTAGATCAAGTTAGACAGATCAAGTAACTTCAGGTCAGTTTCAGTTGTTAATTTCCGCTCTATGATTTTAAAGCCAGAAACAAAGAAAATAATATTAAAAATTATAATTGAATTATCCACTAGAGTAGAAATATTATGAGACTTGAGTCATCACAATTTGTCATTTAGGTTGTAACTAGTAGCGGATCAATTGCGACCTGAAAAGGGGGCATTCGAAAAGATGTATTTTTTTTAGTTAAATATTTCTCTAAAGGCTAGAATGAAAAACACTTATTAACCACGAAAGACGAATTAAATTTGAGTCAAACCACGACGAAAATACAAAACAGAGTGACGAACGCCACTGACCACTACAGTTTCCTTCCCCTAAGTTAGCAAGTGGACAAGTCCAAATATTTGTAAATAAAAAATATACTAACAGTACTAAACGTACACGATTAGATATAGATTTTTTTTATTCTAGAGATTCTAAATGTTGATAATGAAATCTCCTACTTTAAAGATAATTAAATAAATGTATATTTAATTAGCTAATAATTCATTATTAAAGAAGGTGAATTTTCCATTCGTAATCGGACCTAAGGGCGGAGCTTATTTTCAAAATCCATATTTCTATACAAAAATTTCAGTTTCTTATTGGGAAAAGAAGACTACGTATATTAAACAAAAAGGCAAAATATAAGCCCCGCCCACCCACCCTCGTCTCAATTCTGATGATTTTTTCATTCGTTGTCAGACAGAAGGGCGAAGAGTAATTGCAAAATCCATATTTGTCCACAAAAATTTGCCAATTTGAACAAGTTTTAAGTTTTTTTGTTGTGAAAAGAAGACTACGGATATTAAGAAAAACAAGGCAAAATGCAAAAACTTGTTCAAAATAGTCAATTTTTTTCCACCTTGGAGAAGTCCAAGGAATCGAACAATTTTCGTTTCAGCTGCGTAGCGCCAGTGGTTCTCAAGTTATGAATTTTCAAAATAGAAAAAAAAAATTTGAGCACGCGAATAAAATGAAGTGAAGGCGGATTTTTTTGAACCGTTATAAATTAACAACTGATTGCCAAAATCAATTCAGCAGCGTCGAATTGACCTTGGACCAAAATTTCAGCTTGATTTGAGAATTTTGACTTTTTTTCATTTTTTAGAGTAGATTTTGAAAATTTTCTCAAAAGGGACCGATCTTCTTCAAATTTGCGCCACTTACTAATTCGAACTTCCGGAACGAGAAGGGTTTTATTTGATAATAAAGGCGTAATATGGACGTTTTTTTTTTTAAATCAGAAAAGTCAGAGACAGTTGATGAAATAAAATAACTTCTTTAGGCGAAATTTTCAAAAATAATTCTTCTAAGTCATTTTGAAAGGATACTCCATAGACGGTCAAAAATTCGTTTCAACAGTCATTGAAGAATTGAAATTTTTGAAAATTGACCTAAAATCGTCAAAAAATTCTGGAAAATATTTTTCGATGAGTTGATTCGAATAACGTAACATATTGATGGTCTCGGATCAATATTTTCAAAAATTCAGTTTGAAAATAGAATATTTGAAGTATCTCGAAAACTGAATCTTTTCATTTTATCGATTCTGGAAAAATTGTTGGAACTTTTGAAGAAATGAAATCGAACGTAACTTTTACAAGTCAAAATCTTCGAGGAAATGTCTTTAGTTAATTATCAAAGAGTCAATACACGGTGAAAAAGTTCAATTCAAAGGTTATTGAAGATTTCAGATTTTTCTCCTTCTTAAAAATCGTCAAAAAATTTTGGGAAACATCCAGAAAAAATACCTGTTCATGATTCCAGACCCCAGACCAACATTTGCGAGAATTTTCTTAGAAAATGAACCTAAGGGCGGAGCTTATTTGCAAAATCCATACTTCTCTACAAAAAGTCACGATTATACCATTTTAAACATGATTTCAGTTTCCTGCTGCGAAAAGAAGACTACGTATTAAACAAAAAGGCAAAATATAAGCCCCGCCCACCCACCCTCATCTCAATTCTGATGATTTTTTCATTCGTTGTCAGACAGAGGGGCGGAGCGTAATTGCAAAATCCATATTTCTCTACAAAAATTTGCCAATTTGAACAAGTTTCAAGTTTTTATGTTGTGAAAAGGACTACGGATATTAAGAAAAACAAGGCAAAATGCAAAAACTTGAACAAAATAGTCATGTTTTTTCTAACTCGGAGAAGTCCAAGGAATCGAACAGTTTTTGTTTCAGATACGTAACGCCAGTGGTTCTCAAGTTATGAATTTTCAAAGAAGACAAAAAATTTTTGAGCACGCGAATAAAATGAAGTGAAGGCGGATTTTTTTGAACCGTTATAACTTAACAACTGATTGCCAAAATCAATTCTGCAGCGACGAATTGACCTTGGACCAAAATTTCAGCTTGATTTGAGAATTTTGACTTTTTTTTTCATTTTTTTAAAGTAGATTTTCAAAATTTTCTCAAAAGGGACAGATCTGCAAATTTGCTCCACTTACTAATTAGAACCTCCGGAACAAGAAGGGTTTTATTTGATAATAAAGGCGTAATATTGACGTTTTTTTTTAAATCAGAAAAGTCCGAGAAAGTTGATGAAATTTTCGAAGAAATATAGGCAAAAATAACTTCTGCAGGAGAAATTTTCAAAAAGAATTATTCTTTTAGGTCATTTTTAAAGGATTCTCCATAGACGGTCAAAAATTCATTTCAACGATCATTGAAAAATTGAAAATTTTGAAAATTGACCTAAAAATCGTCAAAAAATTCTGGAAAATATTTTTCGATGATTTGATTCGAATAACGATATTGATGGTCTCGGATCAATATTTTCAAAAATTCAGTTTGAAAATAGAATTTTTGAAGTATCTCGAAAACTGAATCTTTTCATTTTATCGATTCTGGAAAAATTGTTGGAACTTTTGAAGAAATGAAATCGAATGTAACTTTTACAAGTCGAAATCTTCAAGAATTATTGTCTTTAATTAATTTTCAAAGAGTCAAAAAGTTCAATTCAAAAGTCATTGAAAAATTCAAAATTTTCTCCTTAAAAATCGTCAAAAAATTGAGCTGCTGATTAGAAAATATAGCCTGTTTATGGTCCCAGACGAAGATTTTCGAGAATTTTCTTAGAAAATGAACCTAAGGGCGGAGCTTATTTGCAAAATCCATACTTCTCACAAAAATTCACGATTATGCCATTTTAAACATGATTTCAGTTTTCTGTTGGGAAAAGAAGACTAAGTATATTATAAAAAAAATAAAATATAACCCCCGCCCACCCACCCTCATCTCAATTCGGATGATTTTTTTATTCGTTGTCAGACAGAGGGGCGAAGAGTAATTGCAAAATCCATATTTGTCCACAAAAATTTGCCAATTTGAAAAAGTTTTAAGTTTTTTTGTTGTGAAAAGAAGACTACGGATATTAAGAAAAACAAGGCAAAATGCAAAAACTTGTTCAAAATAGTCAATTTTTTTCCAACTCGGAGAAGTCCAAGGAATCGAACAATTTTCGTTTCAGCTGCGTAGCGCCAGTGGTTCTCAAGTTATGAATTTTCAAAATAGAAAAAAAATTTTTGAGCACGCGAATAAAATGAAGTCAAGGCGGATTTTTTTGAACCGTTATAAATTAACAACTGATTGCCAAAATCAATTCAGCAGCGTTGAATTGACCTCGGCCCAAAATTGCAGCTTGATTTGAGAATTTTGACTTTTTTTAAAATTTCATAAGGTAGATTTTGAAAATTTTCTAAAAAGTGACAGATCTTCAAATTTGCTCCACTTACTAATTAGAACCTCCGGAACAAGAAGAGTTTTATTTGATAATAAAGGCGTAATATTGACATTTTTTTTAAATTAGATTAGTCCGAGAAAGTTGATGAAATTTTCGAAGAAATGAAGGCAAAAATAACTTCTGCAGGCGAAATTTTCAAAAATAGTTCTTTTAGGTCATTTTCAAGGATTCTCCATAAACTGTCAAAAATTCATTTCAACGGTCATTGAAAAATTGAAATTTTTGAAAATTGACCTAAAAATCGTCAAAAAATTCTGGAAAATATTTTTCGATGACTTGATTCGAATAACGTAACATATTGATGGTCTCGGATCAATATTTTCAAAAATTCAGTTTGAAAATAGAATTTTTGAAGTATCTCGAAAACTGAATCTTTTCATTTTATCGATTCTGGAAAAATTGCTGGAACTTTTGAAGAAATGAAATCAAATGTAACTTTTACAAGTCGAAATCTTCAAGAATTATTGTCTTTGATTAATTTTCAAAGAGTCAAAAAGTTCAATTGAAAAATTCAAAATTTTCTCCTTAAAA